AGGACATTGGCTTCTTGTTAATAAAGTAAGCATGTAAGTTACCCCTCATTTTCCATAAGGGGCAATGAATGAGTAGAGCTGGCCCTACTGCTCCCCTCATGTCATGAGGTGACATGATTTCCTGAGGTGAAAGGAGTGGTGAATTTTAAAAGACTACAGGCATCAAATTGTGTGAATCCCTTTGGTCAGCCAGTCAGTTGTTCCTAATGCCATATTAATTTAAGTTATTTACATATACCTAGTGTATGAAAAACCTAGTGAAGCATTAACATAAATAATAAGGTACTTAGATTACCGACACATGGATATTTTGAAAAACAATATTTTTAAATATTAGGTGTGCATTTCTAAAAACCTACCCTATACTTTTATTAAAATACAGGCCTTAATGCAATGCAGGGCGAGCTTCTGTCTGTGCTGCTTTAAGTGGGAAAGCAGTGTAACGTGGCCTCATCTTTCAGAAGGCATGAAAATCTGAATTACACACTGAGTAAATGACAGCAGATGAAGGACCTGCACCCATTATTACTGCTGCAACATTCACGCTACTGTAGTTCTGAATGTACTCAGATTTATCTGTTCTAGCCAGTAGCCTGGAAAGCACACAGTTGACATTCATTGTGTGAATTCTAAAAAGAGAGAGAAAGAGGTTTCTTTCTTTGTTAATGACATAGAAGGGGAACAGTCTCACAGTTTCAGGTGGTATGTAAGGAACATCAGGCATTGCAGCGATCTTTCCCATTCTGCTCTTTGGTTTCCCCCTTGTGTTATTACTGCAACTGCTCAACTCTGCGAAGGGAAAAGGACATTGTCTTGATGTTTACTAATGCCAGAGGACAAGATTTGATCCTAGTTAGTGTGAATCAACTTCTGTTCAGTGGAGTGGAGTTTTCCCATTTCCATTTTCTGAATGTCATGTGTAAAAAAATTATTTGTGTATAATTTCCAGGAATCTCATGACAGGAGGCACCATTAGACATTTTCTTCTGGCACAAATTGCTAAAGATAAAAAATATATATGGTGACCAGTCTGTCCTGCGTTCACGGTAATGAAATTATGGAATTCATTTGCACCCCATTTCCCATCGCTTTCTAAGATCTGGACCAGATGCTTTGCCCTACATTATACAGTGGGCAGGGGATGTGTCAGATCTGTAGAGCACCTTCGTTCACAAGGGCAAGTATTCTCTTAATAGTGTCTGTTCCCAAATCTTCCATCCAGAAAACATCAGGTTCAATCAAACTCTAGTAAAAAACCATCCTCACCTCTCATTTTTCTTTCTAATTCCAGTCCTGAAAACTGCCCTTCAGAGTGGTGTGAATCTTCAGAATCAGTGGCTGAAATCCTGTTACTTAGCATTTTAAGTTGAAATTAGATTAAGCCAATTTGAATCATTTAAATTTATGGAAGAGCTGACTCACCCAATCCCCACTGATTGAAGGGGCTTAGTCTAGTTGCAATTTGCTACACTAAGTGATAGGAATTCAGCCAGTATGTCATACAATATGGACAACAAGAACAAGTGTGTATGAAATCAAGTAATTCTTCTTTGACTTCTGTGTCACTGAATCGAAACCCAAATCTTTCCTGCATCTACATTCTTAAAATGTTTAGAATTCTGTCATCTTTTAAGCCAGTGCTAAGATTATGAAGCATATGAAGGTAGCCAACAATGTGTTTTGAACACTTCTAGCAGCGTTGTGATGCCTTCATAATAAAATTAATTGAACACAGATAAGTAAGGAGGAAAAAATACTATGTAGAAACGAAAACAAATTGTCTACAAATTGCCTGCAAATGGATTTGGTTGGGGATTATTAAATTTATGGTTGCCACCTGGATTTAGAAAACCTCCAGTTTATGCCTGTGAAATAATGTGCTTCTGTACGCATGATTCAAAAAGCCAGGAAATAGCCCAGTATTGCTATAAAGTGGTGCCTCGCTTGATGATGTTAAATTGTTCCAGCGAAATCGCTGTAGAGCGAAAACATTGTCAAACAAAATGAAAAAACCCATTGAAACACATTGAAAACTGTTCAGTGTGTTTCAATGGGCTAAATACCTGCTTGTCCAGCGAAGAGCCTCCATACGTGAGCCATTTTTGGTGCCTGTAAAGTGAGGAATCCGTCCTAGAAAACAGCAGGGGGGCATTTTGAGCAGCCGGCAGTCATTTTGAAACCCGGCGATCAGCTGTTTCAGTCATTTTGAAACCCGGCAATCAGCTGTTTTTAGATCGTCGTAAAGCGAAAATCGGTTCCCGAAGCAGGGAACCGATCATCGCTAAGCGAAATTCCCCCATTTAAACCATTCTTAAACGTCACCATAATTTGGATTCGTCGTAGACTGGAGTAATCATCCAGCGGGGCACGACTATATAATGTCATGCCTGTGTTACCAGCAGGAAGGAGAATGCCAAGCTTTACATAGCAAAGGGCAACCTGAGTGTTGACAAATGCCAGTGGCAGCACTCAAGATGACAAGATGCCCTCTTTTGCTCACTATCTTTCACACTTCTTGAAAAACACCCCTAACAATTGATTTGTGTTTGGGTGAGAAGTGGATAACTGATGAAAAAAAGGAGTCAGATTCTGGGATTTTTCCTTGCGGGGTATCACTTTGTGAACAGTAGTGGTGCTGGGGGACTCCTGTTCAACACCTTGACCATTAGCCTGTGGAGTGTCATTTAGAATTCATTGCAGGATACATCGCCTGAAATTTAATATCAGTTAGTTCAAATGAAATGCTATACTTCTCATTTTATATCCATCACAACACCTCACAGTCAGTACTGCATTTTGTTTCTGCTGCTAAAGATGGAATAAGCAGTGGTATGTATTGTGGGCTGAGCTTCCTTCAGTAGTTCCAGTGGTCTGTCAAATTCATTTGACATATTACAATCTACTGATGTAGCAGCTTAAATTCCCTATTAGTCCTTGATGTGACTGTTTTAATTGTGCTCATCTTGAGTCAAGTTCGAGTTTAGTTTCCCTAATTTACACCAGTTTGTGTTGATATTTTATCACCTCCATCATGCATTAAAATAACTGGCAGATCTGTTTTTCGATTTGCACTGTGAACCTTATTCTGCTCTGTAGGGGCTGGAAGAAGTGGGCATCTGAGAAGTCAAGGAAGGAATTAACTCTTTGTGTCATCCCAGTCATAGGTGGATGAGTTGGGACCACATTTTGTTGAATACTTACTTACTTATTTACATATTGTATTGTATGCTATATGTGCCTGAAATTCTCCTAGCATCTTTAGTGTGTGGGGGGAATTGTTTTACCTATACAGGGAATGCTGTGGTGATGGCAGCATTACAGACCATGTTGGTAGCTCATTCACAATACCAACTCAGCGGGCATTGTGATTTGTGTGTGAAAAATGTTGGGGACAAGAGTAGATAATAGGGACGTGCATACCATCCTTAACCAAATATGCGGTCAAATAAGGGACACAAAGATTGATAAATAAAGGACACACAGATTTGTGCCATCCAACTATGTTCCCTTCCAGTGATACACAAACCTGATCCTTATCTAGGTTTGGTTGTTGTATTTGTGTGTTCTGAGTAAAGATCCCATCCCTGTGAATGTGGAAACCCAAATGTCAAGATCAAGTCATAGATTAAATGGTGCAGAGCAGACAGAAGGGTACCATTGGCAGCCTGCAGAGTTGATGGATTGTTTTTTAATCCTCCCACCCTTATTTTTGTTGCAGAGTTTTGAATTTCTGGCAAAATTCCCTTTTGCCATGCAGTAGAAGTACAGAGATCCAAAAAAGAGAATATCTATAGGTTCCTCAGAATCCACCCCTTTCTCATTAAGTTTCAGTAACTCATTCTGAGAACATTGCAGAACAAAGAATAAAAAGAAGGTTTATTTACTTAAACTTGCATGAGGTTACAGACTTACGTATACTTCTTTCTTTACTGTGCACATACTGTGCGCTGAACAGATCAACAGCAAACAAGCAGCTGCTACCAACAGATTAAAGAGAGGGAAAGAAAACACTCAACAGAAAAGCAGGGCTGTCTTTGATATCAAAGGCTGGAAAGAACGATTGGTTAGTGCTGGATAGATAATCACCTCAGCCTAGAGACTCTTTCAGTCACACAAACCACAGACATCAAGCAAAGTTGCAAACAAACAAACAAAAATAATAAAATAAAATCCAACAACTTTCAACCACCAAGAGAAAGTTCTGTTGAGCTTCTGAAGGCGACCACCAGGAAGAGCAGGAGTGATGGGCAATGGGCACCGCTGTATTTGATTATATCTTAAAAGGGCAATGCAGGGAGCCTAGTCTTCTATACTTCAGCCCTTTCTCTTTCCTCCCACTCATTATGTTCCATGGATGAGAAATGAGCAGTACTACAGTTACAGGTTTTGTTTATCCAGTTAATGACTTTACAGCAAGAAAGGCAAAGAAGGTTAGTTTCTAAGGTTAAAAGCATTCTCTCCTTGTCATTGCCACCAACTCAGTGTCTTCCTAATTGTTTATTCTTTCCATTTCCTTGCTTCTATCAGAGCACGTGAGTGCTGGGATTTAACACCCATGAGCCACCCATGAGTTCTCTTTCACCCTGTTAATATCGTGAGTCCTTTGCTTTGCCCCACAGGAACTCTACTGATTTACAAATCTTTGGTGCATATTGGCACGCAAGTCTAAGTCTGCACATCTGTAGTCAGTACTGTCCCACAGACCACTCTTTAGATAATGGTTTAGTTGCATGTCTGAAGGCCGGTCTTGCAAATATTTCCACTTTGAGTGTATTTCACCTCTCATGATGTTGAATTGCTCTTATTATCAGTGCAAATGTTCATTAAATCAAATTATTGGATTCTGCAAGCTTAGTCTTACGTCTCAACATAGGTGCATATGTTTGATGGAAGATTGGTTTTGATGTTTGAAGTTTAAGCATTTGAGACTTTTTTTAAAAAAAATCAATTCATTGATAAACACTAAAATACCTTTTCTTCTTTTTGTATCTAAATGGCAGCCAAAAACAGCTCCAAAAAGGACATTTGGATCCATTACTAATGAACAGGTAAATATAACCATTTATCTATTTTCATTTTTTTATATAATATGAACATGACATACTTGTCTGGCTCCTATTCAGGGTCTGAAATTCAGAAACATCAATGTAAGCAATAAAAACATTTGCTTTGAATCCTAAAAATACTGATGAATATGATATATCAATATGTAAACAGATAACATCCTGTCTTCCTACTAAGTTCAACATTAAACAGCAGTTTGTTTTCACATCAGATTGACATCCAGCATTACGGCTGATCAACACATGCATGAACACTAGACATCATTTGGCAATTTATCATTTGACAGGTTACACCACCTTGAAATGTCTCCACCGTCATTTGGAGAAGGAGTTACAGGTGCCTGCTCCAGTCCAGCATTCCCCCTTCCTGGCTTCCCTGTATGTTCCCTGGAATCCATGAGACAGCCCTCTCTGTGTCCAAATTGGCATTATGAAATTTGTGTTTCTCACAGTATCAGCTTGTGTGCAAATAATTAAGTGAAGCCACCTCTCCCCTGATTTAGTTCAGTTACATTAAATACAAGTAAATGCTCTGGTTGAAGTTTATGTGTAGAAAATTAAAAGGCTAAATAGATAGCGGGGAGGCACATCAGCCCCACCTCCATTTCTCTACCTGGAAATAAAACATACCTTTATATATTCTATGTGAAGGTCTGCAGAGCGGCTTTTTAAGTGGGTTGAGCTGAATGTGCTTAACACATTCCTGTGATTGGGAGTCCGTCATGGTAGGAGCCCTTTGCGTCTCACAATGGCTAACCATGAGGGTTAAAAACTAAAGTTTCTATCCTCCATCCCCACAATTCTGTTACCTGTTTTTGCCAGTCATTAAGCAAAATTGTTTCTGGAAACTTACTGAATACTAGTGTATTTTTCACTGCAAATCCCCAGGTGCAGAGTACCAAGACACACAAGGTTACACAAATTGCAAAGTGAAGAATACCAAAAATAGCCACAGATAGAAAGGGATCTGTTAGATGCTGAGGCAAGACCCGGATTTAGTACCCAAAAACCCTCTATTCCCAAAATAACCAGACTGCTATGAACATTTTATTATTTTATTGAAGATGATGCAAAAAGTAAAAAAAGAAAGTTCAAAGCAGTTTCAAAACTTAGTTCAAAAAGTTCAAAAGCAATACAGATGTGAAGCCAATACATATTCCCAAATATTCGAGACTATTCTAGAACAGGTCCGAAAGAAAATAAGGAAACTAATGTATTCCAACAGAATTGAAGCATAGTTCCAGAGCATATGCGGAGTGCAAACTAAATAGCAAGACAGCAAATGAGCATAACTGTCTCCTCTGAGAAGCTAAGCCAAAGTAGCTAACTTTTCTATGCCATTTTTATACTCGCCACCCACCATTCCAGATCTTTTGAGGATATTCCACCAGTCAGATTCTCAGTTCCCCTAAACATTCCGCAACTTTTCTCAAAGTGACTTCAGTCACTTCACACTCCACCCTCCACACTATTTAGCTGAAACCAATTTTGACTTAATTAACCTTAATTAACATTGTACTAAGAGAAAAGTGTTTTATGATGTATTCATTCCCACCAGAAAACCCTCATCTGCAAAGTGTCTCCCAATTAGCGGGGAATATCCTCCTTTCCAGCCACTTTTCTCAGGCACAAGTCAATAGGCGTAAATTTTATGGAGCCACTAAAACTTATTAACCTCTCTTTTTTTTTAACCAATTTCTTGACACAGTACCAAATAACTGGAAAGCAAACGTTTGCCTTTATTCCATAAATGAGACACAAGAAGTGGCTGCTGTGGGTATTGTTAGGTCTTATTCCACCAAATGAGTGTCTTCAGCTGGTTCTCCAACTAAACCATGAGGGTTAAATTGACTTTAGGTTTCCCGTGTGTTGCTTCTGTGATTTTTTTAAAATGAAGAATAAACCTGAAATAGAAAAATTTTCATTAAGTTTTGCATTCTGTCTGGCGTAACATCATCATCTTCCCTGCAAATGGCCAGCATAGATAAGCCACTGCATAATGCTTAAATACTTGTGTATGAAAATACCCTATGGGTTTTCTGGTAGGGGTGACACTTAAACCAATACCCCCATCACTTCCTATTTTTTGTAGCTAAAACCCACAGACTCCTTTACACTGCTAGGCTGAAGGCTTTGCATCACAATAAGCAGGAATAATGTCAAAAAACAAATGGAAAATTGGATGTCGCTTGTTTCTTGTTGCCTATTTTCACCTCCACCCTCAGTGTTTCTGCATTATCACTCCTTTCCTCGCTTCTGGTGTAGTAGAGCTGGCACAGTTCCCTTTGGAAGCTGTCAGCACCATTTCCCATCACTCAGAGAGATTGCTATTGATGAATGCTAATCACTTCTTCCTCCTTAGGGGATGTTTGTTGTTTCTCTCTCTCTGCCACCCCTTTCTAAAAGAACTCCCGCATTCCTTTGCTTGGGTATAGCAGTAGATTCCCTCTCCCTCCCTCTCTCGATTTCTCACCAAAACTATCAAAACACCAGTGTTATGCGGAGTAAGATATGTTTGTAGAGCCTATTTCTATATGCCCATGTATCTGTTTTGTTATAACAAGAGCATACCATGCTCGACAAAACCTATTTTAGAATTCTTATTATTCATTGTGTAAATGTAATGGTTGCATTATTTTTAACACTTGCAATCTAGTTTTTACTGCAGCCGTGAAATCAACCAAGGAGGTGATAAAAAAAAAAAAAGAACTACTCAAACAACTTGTTTGTAATCATCTTGGTGTGGTTTAGTCATAACTTGGCTGTTTCTGATTTGTACAATGAATTGAGGATAAGGGACTTGTATTTTGCAAGATATATGTCCCTTGCTGTATTATTCCCTTCTTCAATTTGATGTGGTCTATTTCTTCATACTTCTCATGACAAACCATGAGAGAGGTACATATTCAGGAAGAAAGAATGATTCACAGTATAGGAAGCATGGTAAGGACAGAACCAGCAAGTGAGATGATAGGTGAAGTTAATGATTTGCAAAGCAGGTAGGATACCCTTATGAATAACATTGAATTGTATTGTGACTCACATCATTTGGCTGACTGCAGTCCCTCGTTCTCTCACCCACAAAATCTGTTAATTTACAGATGCATCATATTAATCTGGTCACGAGTCAAGGGAAGATAAGAGGTATCACAAAATTAGGGAATGAAAAGGCTGTGAAAGTTGTCCTGGACTGCCAAGCTTAAGCAGATCAACTTGTTTACGGCAGGAACAGATGTTACAGATAATGTGCTATGAGAGTGAAAAGCATGTTAGTAGTGGGGAGAAATGAGTAAGGAAGTCTTTTGTGTTTGAAAAATGAGACACGATAGAAGGCTTGTGCTTAAGTCCTAAAGACTAATTACAAAACAAGGCAAACTAATTTGCAGAGTGTGGAATCTTTTGCTGTGACACCTTCGCAGAGTCAGCCATTAAGAATTTTCCTTTTCTAATTGTGGGCTATTTGTAATATATTTCACTGCCCTTATTTGGAGGGGAAAAATTAATGGACATCATTCTGAGTGCATTTGCTGCACAGCTCTCAAATAAGGAGGTGAAACTCTGGGGTAAGAAGGACTTTTCAGCAAACCTTACTGCTATGTATACTGGTACACAATTTGACTTGCAAGTCAACTTAAAGTCATATGGTAATCAAAGGGCTACAGAGTTTCATGCAGCAAAAACAAGAATTAATTTCCTTAGTTATTATAGCTAACCTATTACTACTATCCTTTGGATTATTTCCTGCTTTATGGTGTATTATGAACAAATTGGCATCTACTGCAGTAAATACAGTGGTGCCTCACACAACGATGTTAATTGGTT